GGCATGCTAACTCTTTCCATTAAACTTCCTTTGGCCTGTCAGCAAAAACAGATCTGAAGAAGCAAAGAATTTATACAAAAAGTACCCTCTACACCAGGCATGGTAGCACATGCCTGTAATCCTAGCACTTGAAAGTGAAGACAGAAGGAGTTCATGAGTTCATGCCAGCTTGGTATACAAAGCAGGTTCTGGGTCAGCCTGGGTTACATAGAACTGTTTCAAAAATAAGTAACAGTAAGCCAGATGCCAATGGATCATATCTAGCTAATCAGAAGGCTGAGATATGAGTACTACAGTTTGAAGCCAGCCAGTGTAGGAGAGTCCATAAGACTCTTATCACCAATTAGCCACCAAAGGGGGGAAAAAAAAACCAGAAGTAGAACTGTGGCTCAAGTAATAGATCACTAGCCTTGCACAAAGAGGCTCAAGGACAGAGCCAGGACCAGCACAAAAACATAACTAACTAAATAAACACAATAAACTAAATAAACAAAAAAGATGCTCTCTCTATTTAAGCAGGTCACATGGACTACACTTTTGAGTTTGTTGACCCCATTCCACTGTACGTTTGCCCCCTATACCCTTAGATTGCAGTATCCACTTTCCTAAGCCATCATGGTCTGTACCCCATACAGCAGAAGCACAGGCCTCTCTACATTCACCTCACCTCTAAAACTGGCTTACCCACAAACTTAGTATTGTCCTTCTTCCCTCCTTTGGCTACAGCTTTGGGTAACCTCATCCATTTCTTTATATACAACACTCATGGTGATGACTCCCAAAGGCACATTTCTGAGAAGCTACTGTCCCATCTCTCTTTGGAACTCCACACACTGACACAAATATCTTTATCCATTTGTTTGTTTTCAGTATTTTTATAGCTCTTTTGAAGTAAAACTAATACAAAATAAACTGCAAGTATTTAAGAAAGCTGGGTACCCATGACTCATGCCTGTACTTATAGCCATTCAGGAGGGTGAGACAGAGAATCGTGTTCTGAAGCCAGGTCAGGCAGAAAAGTCTGAGATTCTACCTCCAAATTACCTGCAAAGAAATCTAGACTAGATGTATAGCTAAAGGTAGAATAGCCATAAACAGAAAAGGTAAGGAAGAGTAGAAGGTCTTGTTCATAACCTCATACCAATCCCAAAAACTAAGTTTAAAGTGAGAAGTCCTGACATGCAAATATAGTATAAAACAATCCCATCAAAATAATGAACCTATCTATTACTCCAAAAGGTTTATTTAGATCCTCTAAGTAATCCATCTCTCCAATTTCCACTTAGGCCACCACCAATCTTCCTTTGTTACTATTATTTAGGTCGCATTTTTCTAGAGTTTCATAGAAATAGAATTGCACTGAGTATATTAATTTCTGCCTACCTTCTTTTACCCGTCATAATTTAATTTGAGATTCACGTATGTTGTGGCATGTATCAGTCATTCACATTTTTTATTGCTGAGTTTATTCCACTGAATGAATACACTGAAGTTGGATTAGCCATTCACATACTGATGGAGATTTTGGATTGGTTCCATTTTGGAGCTATTACAAATATAGTTGAATGAAAATTTATGTGTAAGACTTTATGTAGACAAATGCTTTCATTTCACTAAGGTAAAGAGCCAAGAATAAGTGACTGTATCATGTTAGGTATATACCTCACTTTTTAAAAAATGGCTAGACTTTTTTCCAAAGTGACTGTGTCAGCAGTTCTAGCTATTCCATTTCCTTGCCAACACTGGTTATTGGCCATCTTTTTCCTGGGCACTGTCTATAAGCTTCATTTTTCTCAAGACTAGCACTCTACCACTTGAGCCACAGCGCCACTTCTGGCTTTTTTCTGTTTGTGTGGCACTGGGGAATCAAACCCAGGGCTTCATGCATTCAAGGCAAGCACTCTACCATTAAAGCCACATCCCCAGCCCCTATTGTCAGTCTTTTTAACATCAGCTGTTCTAGTGGATCTGTATTGGTATCTCGTGCTTCCAATTTACATGCCCTTAATGACTAATTATACTAAGAATCTTTTCTTGTTCATTTGCCAACATTTATCTTCTTTAATGAAGAATTCAGATCTAATGAATTTTGTAATTGAGTTACTATTACATTGTTTTAGATAAAAGTCTTTGATTAGATAAGTGTTTTCCAAATATTTTCTCCTCATTTGTGGCCTGTCTTTTGATTTGTATGTCTATTAAAGAGTAAAAATTACTCTTTAGCCTATGGTGGTATGAAACATTAAATATGGAATATGAAGCATCACTGCATAAGCAAGTCTTGATCATCACAATATCTGCTGGACAGAACCAGCACTTTATGGCCCACCTAACAGTCCACACCAATGTGTAACTGTCCCTACTGGACTGGTTTAATCTCTTCCACTTTAGCATAATACCTGTGAAACAGCAAAACAATCTGAATATAGTGATTTGGAGAATGCTTAGGTATCTCCCATGACCTAGGAATTCATAAAATTAGACCTCTGGGAGAAAAGAACTAACTTTTTGGACTGAGTTTTATAGAACATACAGATTTTTGTACCAAAAAGCTAAGGCACTAAGGATGAAGCAATAATAGCGCAGTCCCAAACCTGTCCTTCTAGACCTCAACAAAACAAATACCTTATGGGGGGGAGGGGGGAGGCTGGGAAGGGATGGGAAGGGTAAACAAAGGAGGAGGCTGCAATGCTTGGTAAGAAATGTACGCATTATCCTGCCCATGCAATTGTAACCCCTCTGTACAGTATGTTCACAAATAAAATAAAATAAAATTAAATTAAATTAAATAATTAAAAAATTAAATTAAATTAAATTAAATTACCTTCACCCCCAAACCAGCTCCAAGCTTTGATCAACCACCTATCCCATCTTTCTAGATAGGAAGAATATACTTGCTGGCCCTATCAACAAAGCAGGTGAGGAACAAGGGAAATAATGCAACAAATCTATTTATTCTTTCTTATAGACAGACAGACAGATAGATTTTTTTTTTTCCCTTCAGTCATGGAGCTTGAAATCTGGGCCTGCACATTGTCCCTGAACTTTTCAGTTCAAGGCTAGTGCTCTACCACTTGAGCAACAATGACACTTCTGGTTTTCTGATGGTTAACCGGAGATAAGAGTCTCAGGGACTTTCCTGCCCAGGCTGGTGTTGAACCATGATGCTCAGATCTCAGCCTCCTGAGTAGCTAGGGCTACAGGCGTTAGCCACTGGCACCAGCTCTTTTTTTTTTTTTTTAATCCTTTTTCTGGCAGGGGCCACAGTCCAGCAAGTTGGCCTTGCTTGGCCAAACAAATTCATCCACTCATGCAGAATTCTAATTAGTGTTCTGCCATACACTCTCCATTTCTGCTGTTCTACCAGTAGATACTTCATTCATACCTAAATGCACTGTTATGGCTTGAGTGTTTGTTCTCTCAAAAATTCATGTAAAAACTTAAACCCAAATAATACCTAGGAAAATTCACTCATGAAAAACATTGCACTTGCCTTACAGTACTAAAATTAAGTGTGCCTAAATGTGCTTAACATATATGCAGCCCTCTCTCTACTCTCCATTAGACTATAAACTCCATGAAGGCAAGTACTATGTCTATTCTGACCATTATGAAAATCCTTGTACTCTGTTGTACCTCACAGAGAGTTCTAATCAATTCCTCTAGCTCTATCAGATAAAAAAAAAAAAGAATTCAATTTGTTCTTCACCAAAGCTCTGAGATACGATTCTAGTCCTCACATTACATCTTTTCTGGAAAAATTAGCCGTAAGAATGAACAGTCTTGAGTTTCCATGATTCTAAGGTTTGCAGGTGCCATGCTATTATTTTTTCATTTATTTGTCATGAAAAATCTATGGAGTAGGTACTAGGCTTATTCTGACTTTATGGATGCATTTGAGGAAAAGAGATATGATAATTCACCAAAAGTTACACAGATGAATGGCAGAGACGAGATTCAAACCCCAATAGCCTCACCTACAAGCCCACATTACTAATCACTGTACCTCGCACTGAAAGGACATCAAATTGTTAAATACCAATAAACTGAGCCAAATGAAACAAATGATATAAAGACAAATTCAGACTTGGACATACAAGTATAAGGCAGCAATTCAAAGAAACTAAATTATTCAGAGAAACTTAAAGCCTGACCTTCATTGTTATTTGAAATAAGTCAAAATTAAAATCACATCGTCATTTTCAATTGATATACACACATGAAGACTAAATTCCAGAACATTCTTTCATGACATACATTTTCTATCCAGGCACAGGTGGTTCATACCTGTAATCCTACATACTTAAGAGGGTGAGATCTAAGGATTGCAGTTCAAAGCCAGCCCAGGGAAGTCCATGAAATTCTTATCTCCAATTGATAACCAAAAGGCCAGATGGCAAGTTGTGGCTCAAATGGCAGAGCGCTAGCCTTGAGCACAAAAGCTCAGGTATACTGCCCAGGCCCTGAGTTCAAGCCCCAAAACTAACATTAAAAAAAAAAAAACACTTTCTTTTGCCACTAATTCTTATTTTATAAAAATACATACATGCTATTTTTATGAGCCAAAGGATACCAATCACCACACTAGGCCAAGCATGTGTTGCCATGTTTTCCAGTACAGGCAGGAGAATGTCTGAAGAATGTCACCATCCCTATGGCTTTGACTGGCCAGATTTCTCAGCACAGGGTGTGGAAAAATAATACAACTCAAGTTTGACTATGTTGGCAAGCTTTATTTTTATCCAAAAGAACACCGAAAAAAATATAAGGCATGTGTCAAAGAAAACAGAATGGTCAGAGAAAAACAAGTCAAATTATCCAATGTCTTCCCAGCAGGTACCTTTAAGTACCCACCATGCAGTATCCTGGTTCACAGGCACTCAACCTCACCTGTAGGGCTTACAAATTATCCTCTAGTTTACAATGCCTCATTCTTACATAATTGGGAGAAGGAAAGATTACAAAGAAGAAACAAATTAAGAAAAGGATATTTAACTCACCTTCCACTGCTCCTCGGGAAGCAGTTTTACAACCACCACGTCCCCATTTAAGGCTCTATTACGAGCAACAACCCCATCAATAAAAATGTCTCGATCACCATCCTAGATTGAAGAAAAAAATAAGGAAATAGTCATCTTAGTGAGGCCTCAAACCAAAACTTACTTCCTTGGTTTAAATTGTTTAGATACCAATCTGTGCACTTTCTTAACAGGAATTCTAAGTAATATGACTATATATTTAACTAAAACATCTTTCAAACAAAAAGATGTGGTAATGAGTACATAACAACAAAAACTCACAAAAATAATCAACTAGATGCAAGACAAAAACAAAACAAAAATATCAATCAAAATACAAAATGAGCCAGGTGCCGGTGGCTCATGCCTATAATCCTGGCTACTAAGGAGGCTGAGATCTGAGGACTGTGTTTCAAAGCCAGCCCAGGCAAGAAAGTCCATGAGACTCTTATCTCCAATTAATCACCATAAAACCAGAAATGGGGCTGTAGCTCAAGTGGTAGAGCACTTGCCTTGAGCTGAAGAGCTGAGGGACAGCACCCAGGTCCAGAGTTCAAGCCCCACAACCAACAAAAAAGAAAAAAAAAACACAAAATGCATAGAACAAATAAAAATTACGTTTTCAAAACTGAAATGAAAAAGGAGTTGTTCTTGTTATCCTTTTTGTTTTAAATAAAGTAAGGCATGCAGATACTTTTTTTAAACTATAGATATTTCTTTAAAGTGTCAAGGAAGGGTAAAAAAGAGGAGATATGCAAATGCACAGAAAAGAAACAACAAATAATCCCCAGGGAAACCCCCTGAGGGCAGGTGTAGCACCCAACTTCAAGACTCAAGTTCTCTAAGAGAAAGGAAGCCCAGAGTAATACTGCCTACTAGAAAAGGCAAAAGGAGCAATTTGCTTGTTTTTATGCACATTTAAGGAGAAGCAAAAAGAACAGAAGAGAAGTTACATGAGAATCATAAAGCATTGCAACACCCATGTAACTTGTAAACTGGGTGAGCTCCACACCAGGACCAGAAGGCACTGGCCCCTCACATTCTCAACTACCTATTCTGAGCAGTGTGGTGCTCCATAAGACTCTCCTCGGGTATCCATGTTTCAACTTAATGAGCACTAGTCTTCCTGATAAGCCAAATTACTTTGCAAAACCTCTTAAGAAGGAAAAGAGTGTTAGTTAAAAGCTGCTTTTCGACTGTAAATCAGAAATGAATGTGCTTTAATTCTTTGAAATTGCTTTAGCAGGATGTTGTGGTGTTTTACCATCTTTTCTGTACAAGTCATATTTTCTATAAAATAAAGAAGGATCATGAACAAGCTTTCTGTGATTCTGTCTTCTGGTGTGTTACTGATCAAGACTGGAGCATCCCGGTGGCCCCAGCACCATGGTTTTCTCTGTTTTGGTTGGGGGGCAGAAGGACTGGTGTGAATTGAGGGTTTTAGCTTTTTCATTGACATGACAATACCCCATAGTTCAGTCTAATCTAGTCTTCTCAGTTTTCATTTGTATAATGGTGTGCAGTCATTTAGCAAAAGAAACTATCAACAGCTATAGAAAGCAAAGGAAGGAGAAGGAAGACTTTCAGAGGTCAGCCCAAGAGAAAATGTTTCACCAACCAAGTTCCTTTTCTTTCTTTGTTTATTCCTTTCTTTCTTCCTATCTTTCTTTCTTTCTTTTTTTGAGAGCAAGGGAGAGGCAGTTTGGGGGCTTGAACTCAGGGACTGGGTGCTGTCCCTCGAGCTTTTCTGCTCAAGGCTAGCACTTTACTACTTTAGACACCTGACCACTTCTGACTTTTTTTGGTGATAACTAGAAATAAGAGTCTGGCTTTGAACTGTGATCCTCAGATCTCAGTCTCCTTAATAGCTAGAATTATAGGCATGAGCCACCAGCTTCCAACTGTACTTTTCTTTTATTCTCCCAGAAGCTCATTTCTATAGAGTACTAGAGAAGTCAAATGTAAACTTTTCTTACAGGAAGTGTCAAAAGAAGAGTCTAAAAAGTCACTACTCAATTTTTTTAATATAGATACTCTTATAGATAAGATTAAACAATCAAAGGACTAAAGGTGATCGCTATGAAACTCTAGTTAATTAAAAGTGTCATACCAAAATCATCAAGAAAAAAAATGAGATTTTAGTCCTCGGTGTTTTGCTAATTGTTTCCTATTACACACCATTTAAGAACTTTTAGAATAGATTTCCTGTTGAGTTCCAATCGAGCAATGGGCTGGCAGCTGTGTCCTACAAACTGCCAAACCTGACCCCACCCTAAGTCCCTGAGGATCAACTACTGTGTTAGCCACAAAGAATTACTGAATTTGACCTCACAAGGAGCTTCTCAGAGAGAGAGAAAAAGAGAGAGAGAGAGAGAGAAGAGGGAGAGAGGGAGAGAGAGGTAAATAGTGAACAACTGAACAACTGAAGTATGGCCTGTCACCATGAGTTTCTGCCTTCAGCAATTTATAAAGCAACGTGATCTGGTAAGACTTCTCTGCAATGGAGAGAGCTGTTTGGAGGTCATCTTAACTTGTTCTTCTGTATCAAAACACGCAATGAAATGCCTGTTCTATAGCAGCTGTAACCATCCCTTTGGCAACTCAGAGATTTCAGTGATAGAATGATGGTAATGCCATCTCTCTATCTAATAAAAATAAGGAAAGGAGTCTAAGCTGAACTTCGTTTGACTCACAGAGCCCTAGTTAATTCTATCTTTACTCAGTTCTTCCTTAATTGGTCCACAAGCCGATAATTATTGCCAAATCTCTCTGTCTTTTTTTAAAGATACTAAACTTGCTGGGAAGGTGGCTCAGTGGTAGAGCACTTGCCTCGCATGCATGAGGCCCTGGGTTCGATTCCTCAGCACCACATAAGAAAAAAGAAAAAAGCCGGAAGTGGCGCTGTGGCTCAAGTGGTAGAGTGCTAGCCTCCCAGGCCCAGAGTTCAGGCCCCACGACCGGCCCCCCCTCAAAAAAATAAATAAATAAATAAAGATACTAAACTTCAGTGGGGTATGGTGACACGCACCTATAATCCCAGCACTGGGGAGGTAGAGGCAGGAAGATTTCAAATTCAAAGTCAGCTTGGATTACAAACTGAGACCATGCCTCAAAAAAAAGGGGAAAAATACGAATATATTAAATTTCAAACAGGTCAATATTAAAATTTCAATTATTCCTTTTTAAGTAGGCTACCAAGAACAGAAGGGTAGATGGGAGAATGGACAGAGAGAGGAAGGGAAGAAGGAAAGCAGGGAAAAGAGAGCAGAGAGGGAAAAGGGAAAAAGAGGGGGAAAGAAAAGGGAAGGGAAGTAGAAAAGAAAGGGATACAACTTTGGGGGGGCGGGAAGGAAGGGATGGGAAGGGGAAACAAAGGAGGAGGCAATAATGCTTGATAAGAAATGTACTCATTACCTTGCCCATATAATTGTAACCCCTCTGTACGGTATTTTCACAATTAAAAAACAACAACAACAAAAGGAGGAGTAACAATGCTCGGTAGGAAGTGTACTTATTACCTTACTCATGTAACTGTAACCCCTCTGTACAGTGTTTTTACAATAAAAAACATATTTTAAAAAAAGAAAGGAAAGGGATAATGAACATAAAGAAAATATAAACAAATTTGGGAATAATCTAAATACTTATGAAAGAAAATGAAGGAGGACAATGATAGCCAAAGCATCTTCTATCAATAGAACAGCTCCCTTTTGGAGCAGAAATAAATTTCACAGCTGTATAAAGGGTGTCTTCCATGACAAGACACACACAAAGTTATTTTATATTGAAGATCAATTGTTTTTAGCCTACTATACTGACTTTCTGGCATAGCAAATGACATTATATGAATTCATAACCTTTTTTACAGGAGGAATAAATCTAAAGAATTTAGTCGTAGTTCTGTTTTTTTTCCTCAAAAACCTTGTCTTTTGAAGTTGTGAGAAACATTGGGCAGTATTTAATCCAATCTTCATTTTATAAGTAAGGCAATTTTTCTTTTTCCTCTAGTCAGATCAGAGACTACACCACATCAATATCAACCCTTTCTTTATCCTCCCAGCTTAACTAGATACAAGTAATATTCATGCCCTGATCTAACCTCTTTTTTTCTAGTCTACCTGTAGGCATTTTTTCCAGTTGATATAGTTTGTTCTTAGCATGGACATGAAATGAACTATATCCACTCAGAAATCTAGACTTTCAAGTTCTGGGGTTGATCTATGTAAATTTATTGCCTCTAATATTTGTCTCTTCAATTCCTTTCTATAATGCCTCTAAAGACTGAAACTGACACACACACACAAAAAAAAAACAAAATTCAGGACTATTCCAATCTCCAAACCTAGTCTATTTATAACCACCCCTCAACTAGACCTTTTTAAGAGCTTTTGTAGCCTATTATTAACTACTTAGAATTAAACTGTTTAGAATTTTTAGTCCTTTAGAGACAATAGTACTACTGAATCCCCGAGCCAGAAAAAAGAATAAAGGAAAACAGGTATGATGTAATCCCATCTACTTGGAAAGTAAAGACTGAGAAAACTGTAGTTAGAGGACAGCCCAGGCAAAAAGCTGGTGTGACCTTTCCCACAAACAGGCTAGGTGAGGTGATATACACCTATGAAACCAGTCACTTAATAGGCTAGCCCATGCCCAAAACTGTAAAAATATGCCTGAAAACAGCTAAGCAAAAAGGGCTGGAGATAAGACTCAAGTAGTAGAGTGCCTGTCTGTAGAGTGCTTGCCTCACATGGATGAGGCCCTGGGCTCGATTCCTCAGCACCATAAGCAAAAAGAAAAAAGCTGGAAGTGGTGCTGTGGCTCAAGTGGTAGAGCACTAGCCTTGAGCTGAAGAGCTGAGGGACAGCGCCCAGGCCCAGAATTCAGGCCCCCTGACAAAAAAAAAAAAAGCCCTAAATTCAAGCCCTAGTATGACAACCAACCAACCAATCAATCAATCAATCAACAGGCATAGAAATAAGCCAGTCTATCACATCTGTTTAAAAACTAAAGATAAGCCAAGAATACAATTTCAAAAATGAGACCTACTGTGAACTTTTAAAAAATCACTTATTTTTGCTTTTGCTTCCTAGCTGTCCTTTAACATTAAGCCAGAATAATTCATGAAGAAGTAAAAGTACATGATTTTAATTTGCAAAAACGTAACTAGGGCCCATACCCTTCCCCATCAGGCAAATAATTCTAAGAGCCAAATGATTCCTTGGAGTAATCAGCTGGAGCATCTTGGTAGCACTCATGCTCAGTGGTGGCTAAAGGGCAGGTGTATCTATAGCATGGACAGAGCTTAGACACATGGGATAAGATGCTCACACATTTGCATTCAAGAGACCTTGCCCAATGCAAGGGAGCCATGAGGGGATAGGAGGAGGCTTGAGAAAGGGCAAGACAGAGATGGACCTTGTCCTCATTCACACCATTGAGCTCTAAGAAATCTGAGATTTATACTTGAACACACTGGTACACAAAGGTAAGTTTGGCAAGGAATATTATTACTTGCCATGGAATATACTTAATAGTTTGTTAGTTTGACTTATAACTTTTCAATAGTTGATACATGTGTATCTCCTTTGATACTTTGTCCTAGGCCTCATGCTTCTTGGTGCTGACCTAACAGGGATTTAATTTAGTAGTATGAATTCCAGACTGTGAATTCAGCAAAGGGAGAAAGCTACTAATAAATTCTTTTCTATAGGGAATGGCTGGGAGGTACTTGGGATTAAATTTTCAGCTATGTCACCACCAGTACTTTTATTTTTATTTTCGAGAAAAGAGTCCCACACTTTTGCCCAGGCTTTTGCCCAGGCTGACTTTAAACTTGTAATCCTCTCACCTCTGATCCAAATATGCACCACCTACCCACAGATTTTTTTTATTGCTGTCTTTCCCCTTATTGCTCCAATCAATGAGCTCAATGTACACAGGAGATGAAATGCTTAAAATCTGCTCAGTTCACAGCTACCTCTTGGGATAAAATCTTTACTCCAACAAATGTGATTCTCATGCTTAAAAATCCAAGTTTTTCACATACAAGCGTTCCTAATTTAACCAACCCCTCCCCTAAACCCACCAAACCACTTCAGAAAGTCCTTTCAAATCTGGATAAACATTAGCTAGGCAGAACTTATTTAGAGACTTATTATCAGTCTCCAACATGCACCTTGAAGGAAATGCTCATGGATGTGTATTATTTCTGTACATGATCTCTACCTTATAAGCATATTCTAGAATCTACTGCACTTCCAGTATATGAAAGAATTGTTCTTGTGGCTAAGTTACTACCTCCCATCTGAACTTTGATTCTACTACTCAAGTACCAAGATGAATACTAATACTATGCTCAGGAGCAGAATACGATTCAGAATTATACAGTAAGTCACTGATACTTTTTCCAAACCAATGGGTAAGAATTTGGATGTAAATATAAGTCCTTGGCTTCTGGATGGCAAGGGGGAAGGTACTGAACAGAGCTTAAAAACAGGTCTTACAAGTACTGTAAGAATGATAATAATATCACTTACAATGAACATGACTCAACTTAAATTCTCACTAAGCTTGTCATCTAACAAAATGAAATATGTTAACTGAAATGTATATATTCCATTCCCTCATGTATAAACAGAAGTTTATCCGTCTGGCCTTTCCTACCATGAAAAATGTATGATTCTATAACTAACCTACTTGCAGCAACCTGGAAATGTGAGGAATTAAGAATAATGCTCTCCCAACTTTGGCCAAGCAGGCCTTCTCCAGAGACATGAAGCTAAGTACATGTCAGGAACCTCTTAAAACAAGCCATGAATGCACAAAAGGCCTAAAGACCAAACAGTAAAGAACCTTGCTCAAAGTCCTATCACCTGCACCAAAGTGAAGTGAGAAAGTCTGGACAACAACAAAAAGCTCTGCTTGTTATTTTTGGGCACATGTTCAGATTAGCTCACGCAGTAGATCGAAAGGAGATAGCATATTTGTTTAGAAAAGATTAACTTAAATCAGTGGAAAAAAAAACACCATAAATCCTTTTAAGCTATAAAGCAAGAGCATCCAATTACACAAACTGGCGGGTAGTCTGCCTGGGTCCAGCTGCTCTCTTCAGCTTCGAAACAAATGCCATCCTTTCATTTGGCATGGAATTTTAAGACTGGAGAAGGGGTGGTGAACCAAAGGCAAATTCTGTTTATTTAAATTTGAAACAAATCTTTGCCCATCCTCAAATTTGTTTTACTATTCTGCTTTTTAGTTAAATTATATGATTTCAGTTTCAGAGCACATCTAAAAAATTAAATGTGACTTAGGTTTATAATAAAGTTATTGAACTTACCAGGGAAGGAATGAAAGCCTCATGAAACTTCTTTGGATTAATTCTCAGTACACCCTTTAAAACAAAATAATTAAAGTCTGTGAAAATCTAGCTATACATTTATGATTTTTCCATATGCATGTTATTCTCCAATAAAAATTTTTCATCAAATAATTTCACCTAGAAAACAAGTTAGCTGCATGGGAACTGATCATTGCATAAAACACAACTTATGTTGATATGTGCAACTGCAAACTGTATGGAAAACTGAAAGCTCAAACTGACATCTTGCTGGGAACAAGCTTAGGTGAGAAACAACTGATTGGTCACAGAGCAGGAAAGTGATAACTGGGGATTTTAGATGCTGATCCCTCTCTGCTTGTCTTCAAATTGAAGCCTTGACTTTAAAAACAAGAGTATATGAGAATTATGCCTCTCTAAATGGTGGCCTTTTGTATTCTACTAATTCTAAGACTTTTGCACAAGTGCTTCTTCTCTAACAATCCAAAGTAATGCAAGTTGATTTCCAACTTGGACACTCAGCCCCAAGGAACTGGATGCATATATTTTACTCATGCCCCTCTGCAGAGCCAAATGAGTCAATAATTCAAAATGGTCCATAACCAGCTCTTAATGCAAACAGGAATGCTGGCTCCAACAGCCAGGCCACCCAGTTTGCCTTCAACTTCCTATTATTCCAGTGCCAAATCAGGGTCCGTTTCTTTTAGTGCACAGGGGTGCAAGCAGGGACACTTTTCAATAGCAACAGCTCAGTATTTCAGCCTTTGCAGGAAGCTGTCACTCTCCCCAGGTTCCAGTTATACTCATAAGTCCTTGGACTTACATTGATGTTTTCATAATAGCCACACTAGAAGGATAACCTGAGAAAGAGTTTTAAATAACTTCCCACTAAATGAATGATTCAAAGATACATAAAGGGCATAAAATTAAAGAGAATATAGGTTCTCTCACTGGTGTGCCACATTTAAATTAGAAATGTATATAATATCTTATACTATATAGACTACAACAAATGACAAAGTTATGAGCAGAATGAGAACTAATCTTTGTCCTTGTAAAGGAAAAGGTATAGAATAGCCTAAGTGAGAGTAAAATTTATTTTCAGTGGACATCAAGGAAGGCTCCAAAAGGCTGGGAAGGTGGCTCAGTGGTAGAGTGCTTGCTTTGCATGCATGAGGCCCTGGGTTCGATTCCTCAGCACTACATAAGCAGAAAAAAGCCGGAAGTGGTACTGTGGCTCAAGTGGTAGGGCACTAGCCTTGAACTGAAGAGCTGAGGGACAGGGCCTAGGCTCAGAGTTCAGCCCCCACGACGGACAAAAAAAAAAGGCTCCAGGGGCTGGGAAGGTGGCTCAGTGGTAGAATGCTTGCCTTGCATGCATGAGGCCCTGGGTTCGATTCTCCAGCACCACATAAGCAAAAAGAAAAAAAGCCGGAAGTGGTGCTGTGGCTCAAGTGGTAGAGTGCTAGCCTTGAGCTAAAGAGCTGAGGGACAGCGCCCAGGCCCAGAGTTCAGGCCCCACGATCAGACCCAAAAAATAAAAATAAAAAAAAGCTCCAAAGATGGTGCCTAGCCTTTTTTGCCTGCAAGATTTCTAGGTAAGCTGAGAATAAAAGGACAATGGAGGGCACTGTGTTCACAAGAGTGGACAAGAGGGCCAACATTCATTCTACCCCATCAGGCTACAGAGTTAACAGTGGGAGAAGGCAGAAGATAACACTGGCCCAGCTCTCCAGACATCCTTGTTAAGAGCTCTAAAGCAAGGCCAGCTGTTGTGGTACATGGTACATACAGCTACAAGTGGAAACAGAGATCAGGAAGATACTGAGTCAAGGATAACTGGAGTAAAATATTAGCAAGACTTCATCTCAAGCAACAAACTAGGCATCATCTGCACCTGTGTTCCAAAAAATAACTAAAGCAAAATACAGTGGGAGGTGTGGCTCAAGCAACAGTGTTTGCCTAGCAACTTGAGGCTCTGAATTTAAAAACTAGTACCACCAGAAAGGGGGGGGGGGAAGATTGCTGAAGCAAATTCACTTCAGGGATAGTTCATAGTCTAAGCAAGAGAAAACACTCTAAATCCAAGGCAATGTTAACATTTTATACAGCTTCGTTTTCTGATTACAGGAAATTTTATCTAGTATCATTTGTTAAGATTCATGTTCTCCCATCATCCCTTCAGTTTGGGGAATGGTTAGGACTTGAAGATGTACAGAAATGAGAATGTACTCTGTTTTGAATATACCTTTAATTACAGACTATGCAGAGAAGCCATGGGTTATGGGGAAATAGAAATGTTGCTCTAGGCTTAAAAGAAAAGATTTTAGCTGGGCACTGGTGGCTCATGCCTGTAATCCTAGCTACTCAGGAGGCTGAGATCTAAGGATCGCAGTTCAAAGCCAGCCCGGGCAGGAGAGACTGTGAGACTCCTATCTCCAATAAACCACCAGAAAACCAGAAGTGGCGCTGTAGCTCAAGTGGTAGAGCGCTCGCCTTGAGCTGAAGAGCTGAGGGACAGCGCCCAGGCCTAGAGTTCAAGCCCCACGGCCAACCAAAAAAAAAAAAAAGATTTTATAGGTTCTATACCTAATTCTCTATGCCAAATTGGTCAATACATAAGAGTATACAGGTATCTATGTTGTTGATGGAGGTGGTGGCAGTGTTATCTGGGAGTAGAGGGTTCATTTATTTTTCTTTTTCAACTTCTTAGGTTTGGGGGGGGGGCAGGAAGCAAAGGGAGTTGCCGAAAGAAAAAGAGGAAGGGTGAACAAATACAATCATGGTATTCAGTATACACTATGTAGAAAATGAACTATGCAACTAGTGGGCAGGGATGCGAGGTGGAAACTGGAGGGAAGAAAAGGAGGAGTGACACTATCCAAAAGAGACACATATGCATTACCTGAGTTGTGAAATAGTAACCTTCGGTAAAACACCTCAATAATAACAGTAAAATTACATTGTTTTTAAAAAAAAATAACAGAAGCATTATTCTAGAATAGCATTTGTAAATTTCACAGAAGCATGTCTTAAGAAATAAAACTAAGGAACATATCCCTTGAGAACACAGATTACACTCAGAGCAGAAAACTCTAATAGAACCCCAAAGCAGACCAGAGCTATTCTTACAGCCTAAGGGAAGAAGCTGAAAGTAAAGCTGGTAACAAAATAGTCCACCCACTGAAACACACATCAAGCAAATACTCTATCTTACCTAGAGAGGTCCAAGACTGCATTTCTGAATTTCTCTACCCACAGCCTACCTAACCTCCCCAGTCTCCCATCTCCTAACTTCTTCCTAAACCCTTTTTTGGACTTAGAATTTGACCAGTGAAGATCCTGAATCTCCCATCTCTGGCTGTCCCCTAAAGTTATCTCATCCCTTGTAGTGCTCTAAAGAGGAGTCCATTGTTACCTCTAATATCCCATGCATCTCAGGGTGGAAAAAAAAACTGCTCCCTCCTTGCTTTCCCCATCATAGTTTCAATTATTTTCTTTTCTTTCTGTGTTGTTTTTCAAAAGCCACAGATCCTTTGAAGTACATGCTACTAGCTCCTTCCCTACTTCACTGATGCTGTCATTTCTAACTTTCTGGTCAGAGTCCTAATTCACAGTTTTGACTCATAGTTCACAGCCTTTCCCTTCATTCCCACTCTTGTGGGACTTGAAGTCTAACCTGGCATCTCTAACCTGTCACGCTAGCTACTTTCTCCTCCACCCACTCCAGCCACTCTTTCCCATGTCCACTGCCTGCATACTGTCATCACCATTAACTACACTACTTCCAAATATAAAATACCACATGTCTCTCTTTCTGATTAGTCTCCTGTCCTTCTAGGTCACTTCCTGTGGAAACTCCAATAATTCTCCAATTGCACTATGACCTCCAAGGCACAGCACACAAAACCCAACTCTCCAATGAATTTCCTATCCTTGTCTTTCCACTATACTTACTTTCTTAGCCACCTCACTGCCATGGCCTGCCATTAAGGCTTCCCCTCACAACCCCTGAGCCATGGGTCCCCCTCTTCCTCTTATACTTAATCAGCAGAGCCCTCCTACCTCAACTGACCCCAGCTATCTGCCTTTTCCCTGTCTGTACCCAATGAGCTAAATGGTACTGCAGAAGAACACAACTGGGAGCCAAGCACCAAAAGCTCACACCTATAATCCCTGCTACTCAGGAAGCTGAGATCTGAAGATCACAGTTCAAAGCCAGCCTGCGCAGGAAAGTCCATAAGACTCATTTCCAATTAACCACCAGAAAACCAGAAGTGGCACTGTGGCTCAAGTGGTAGAGCACTTGCCTTGAGCTGAAGAGCTCAGGGACAGCACCCAGGCCCAGAGTCCAAGCCCCACAACCAACAAAAAAAATAAAAAAGAACACAACTGGGCTAGTCTAAATCAGCAATCACAAACATATTTTATCTGGTTTACAGGATGCTTGAAAAAGCTCAGAATTAAGGAATTACACACACTTTAAAAAATATATGCACTTCTAGATTTTCTTGAAAAATCACTAGATCTACCAGCTGTGGACAGCTATCTCCACATAGCAGCAATCACCTGATAGAAACCATGCCTGTACCTCTAACAGTAGTAAAAACAATTCTGAGGAACACTTACATAGGTGTACAATGGGCCATTCACTATTTTAAAATTCTTCTCTGTATGTTACAAATCTAATATCCCAACAACTCTGAGGCACATATGACTAGCCTCATTCTTGCAGATGAGGAAACTGAAGCACTAAGAAAATAAGTAAACTACCCACCATCATACCACATAGAAGCTCAGACAGCCTGGCTCTTTACCAAAGACTGCCTCTTGTCTGCTTTAGTCACTACCAGAGCCTCTTCACTCATTCATGCCTCTTCCAAATCAGTACCACAGTCCAATCCTCAATCTCCCCTAGCTTAGTTAATGTCCATGTCACCCACCCAGCTGTTTTACTCAAACACTTAGGAGACATCCTAGAGTCCATCCTTTGCCTCACCTGCCACATCTAACCCATGAGCAGGTCAGCTATTACTCTTCGTATTCATTGCAACCACCAACTTCATGCCTGTGTTTTCTTGCATAGTTTACTTTGATGGCTTGCTTAGTGATCTCCCAACTTCCACTGTAGTCTATTCTTTTAACAACAGCTAAAGAGTATTGTTTTTTTATTTGTTTTTTGCCAGAACTTGGGTTTGGATTCAGGTTCTGATGCTTATGTGGCTTCCTTGCTCAGCTGGCACTCTACCACATGTACCATGCCTCCAGACTGGCTCTGTGCTGGATATTTGGGAAATAGTCTTAACAGACTTTTCTTCTTGGGCTAGCTTCAAAGAATGATCCTCAGGATCTCAACCTCTTGAGTAGCTAGGATGATCGGCATGTACCCTGTGCTTAGCTAGAGAGACATTTTAAGATATGAAATAAATTGCATTCTTCCTGCTTACTATTTCAGTTACTTCCCATTGTTCTATGAATAAAATCCAACTCTCCAACCTATCCGAGAGATTCTAAATGACTTGGCAGCTGCCAGGCTTTCCACCTTATTCCCATATCAGAATTTCTTGTCCATTTATGTTTCAGGAGGTTTCCTTTTAGAACCTCAAAAACACCAAGCCTTCTTCTGCTTGCTGTTCTTCCAACAGTCGATCTCCCTGCCTATCTACTTTTGCAAAGGCTTAAGATGGCTGACTCATTCTTGCCTTTCACATTTCAATTCAGATAACCTCAGAATCCTTCTTAAACCATGTGACATAATGGGCTTTCCCCTAATTATTCTCTCTTCTTTCTTATTTCCCTACTAGTAATTATCAGTTTGTGATTTCTTTTGTACTGCTTTATTGTTGCCTGCTCCCCAGTAACTTTCCTAATTTGTTCATTTGTATATGCTTAGCATTTACTAGGATATCAACAAACATTTCTGAAGCCAATTAATTAATGTCTATAGAAGTAAAGTCCTCCAACTGCCCTTGGTAATAAGGCTATGAAGAATGTCACTTCTCCCTTCTGAATGACTAGACATTCCACTGTAATGTCATCTTTAATTCACACCTATGTATTCTCCAGCTGATTTCACTCTTAACCTAAGGGAGCAAGTCCTAGAAATTAGCTCATCCTTTCCTTTGTCTTCCTAGACTAAGATTTTTTTTCCAATAACAAGTTTATACCAACAGCATGCTGCAAAAGGAACTCTGACATTATACCTTAGGAAGTTCTGGAGGCTCAGCCTGAACTTTCTTTAACTTTAAAGTATCATCAGGGTTCTGAAACAGCCATTCTGCCATCTCTTACCTATGTTACTATGATCATCAACCAAAACCAGATATGCCTATCATGCACTAATCTCTGCCAACACCTCTTATAATAACCTCTTGATAATGCACCAAGGAGAAAACAAATAATATATGCTCTCTGGAGTTAGAACTTATTTAAACTTCAGAACTACATGTACATGGATAATTATTGCTAGTCTCTTTCAAATATAGAAAAGAGATTCCATTCATCATTGGTGTCTCCTTTTCTTTTTTTTGTCGGTTGTGGGGCTTGAACTCTGGGCCTGGGTGCTGTCCCTCAGCTCTTCAGCTCAAGGCGAGCGCTCTACCACTTGAGCTACAGCGCCACTTCCGGTTTTCTGGTGGTTTATTGGAGATAGGAGTCTCACAGTCTTTCCTGCCCGGGCTGGCTTTGAACCGCGATTCTCAGATCTCAGCCTCCTGAGTAGCTAGGATTACAGGCGTGAGCCACCAGCGCCCGGCTTCCTTTTCTATATAGAAACAATGAAATGTTGAATTTCAGTTAAGATATAGAAAATAATAATACTATTCTACTCTCATTTTTTTAAATCCTTAATATCTTTTTTTTTTTTTGGTCGGTTGTGGGACTTGAACTCTGGGCTTGGGCGCTGTCCCTGCACTCTTCAGCTCAAGGAGAGTGCTCTAGCACTTGAGCCACAGCACCACTTCCGGTTTTCTAGTGGTTTGTTGGAGATACGAGTCTCATGGTCTTTCCCGCCTGGGCTGGCTTTGAACCACAATCCTCAGATCTCAGCCTCCTGAGTAGCTAGGATTACAGGCGTGAGCCACCCGGTGCCCGGCTCCTAATATCTTTCATTAAAGGAATTTCCCCACTCTGGATAAAGAGAAGAAAAAGGTCATGATATACTTAAGTTTGGTTACAAAATGTTAACAAACAATTTTAATATATCTGATATACTTAATTTTCTCCAATAGAGTTAAAGTATCCTTTCCTGTCTAGTTTTTTACTTTACAGGCTTACAGAGAACATTTATATCTGAAAGCAGATGGACTCTGTTTCTATGCCTATGAAAATCTTATTTACAGTGTTGTATATTTCACATGGTGACCTCATATCTGGAACCCATTCCTCTCCCCATCTGCAGAGAACAACTGTTCTCATATGTGGGGGGCTCTGGCTGCAGAGGCTCATGATGTCACAGGCCAGGAGGAATCACTTACAAACTCCTGGGAATGCAAGCTGTTATATTGATCTGATTTTTGGACTGTTTTATCTTAATGTCAGCAAAAGTCACCTCAAAAGCAAAAAATTAAAAGGAAGCAAAAACAAGTAACAGTACAAAATACATCCTATCTCTGTAAAGGTATAATTCTATAATCAATGTTCTAAGCTATTATTCTTTCAACTAAGGTTCCTCTCATTTTTCTTCAACTAACTATATCTTATTGTTTATATTCACCCAGTAAATAAATATTTATTCAACATAAATTTATTAAACACCAACAAAAACCCATGTACAAGGCTAAGCTGCAGAATGAAACACAACCCAGCCATCAAGAAAATATGGTCTATTTGGGAAAATACAAAAGTCATAAAAGAGTAATAGAAGCATTAAAAAAAAAAAAAGCTGGCTTCAGGAAGGTGATAACACCCAACTCTGTTTAGGGAAGTGAGAGGAACATTTAAGCAGGGACTGGATAAAATAAGCATGAATACATAGATAATGGGAAAAATATTCAAAGACAAAGCCACAAAGGAATCCGAATTCTTAATTTTTAGAGGAAGTCTGGAAGCTCAGCATAAACAAATATTCTTAGAGGAGAATGGCAGGAGAAAGTGATGGAAGAGTGCTCCAGGTCCTAATAGAGGAAAAGGGAGGGCCAAAGCACTTGTAGGTAAAATGGTGGCCAGCATACAAGCTGAACAACGAAGAGCCAATAATGGAATAATGAATGAACAAATGTCCAAATATGGCTTCTACTTACAAAAGGGCCCTGTCAAAGAAATCTAGAAGATATTTAAAAACAAAAGCAACAAAAAGCCAATGGTATTTAGAATCAGAAAGATCAACTTTTTAGTTATCAGTGTTCCAGTCAAGAGTCCACATCCATCACAGGTAAATAAGGAAAGACAGGAGCAATGATGACTATATCTATTATTTGGATGAATCTTCAGCAAAAAACAACTACAGAGGCTGAGCTTTCAGAATGAGACAAAAATCCGATGCAGTCAACATTTTCAAGTGATCCAGTAGCACATGTCAGTATTTCCATAATCATCAAGAATTATAAAATAGACTTAATTAGAAGAATATACAACCCTGTTTCCTTCTCCAGGCTCAATACCTACTAACTGTCTCAGATTTCATGCTCAAGAGACCTAAGCTTTCTTACTCCACAAGTTCACATTTTCACTTATGCCACTGCTTCTCCATCATCCTTCCAACACATATATCACTCAACTAACAGCCCAAACTAGTCATCCATCAATGCCAACCACGAGGTCACCTTCTAGAAGAGGCCACACTAGAATCTCAGTCCACACAGTTCCCTCAACATTCTCCCATACATATCACTCTTCTAAAACCAATTCACAAGACTGCCTCCCCTCACTGGACTGCACTCTCAGCACAGAGATGGTTTCATCCACAGTCACATTAACAGCTCCCAGAGGATGTTCTAGCCATAGCCATTCCTAACTCCACAAACATGTGCTCAGCCAAATCACTCAACTAGCTTGTGAACATATTTATAAACTATAAAGTACTCAATTAATATTGCTAGTGTTGTTTATTGTTTCCTTCCCAACCTTATCCATTTTTCTGTCATTCAGCATCATTCTGACTGAGCTTCAGTAAAGCAGACCTGAAATATCCAGTGTTTCCTGTATCCAACCCCCACCCAGTCTGTCTCACTAGCTCACTGCTTGAAAAGCTCTCCCTTTTCCCCTATTCCCTCTCATTCTCCCACCACTCTCCCCCTCTCCCCACTTTCCCCCACTCCTCCCCTGCTTTGCTTTGCTTACTTATATTGCACCAATCCACAACCTGGCTCAAGTAAATCCCTTCTTATAAAGAACAGAGAACACTAACTGTAATAAGGTGTCTCCTCTCACATTTCAGTGCTTAGCACCTCTAAATGCACTGTAGGTCTAAGAAGCAAGAAGACCTACACCAGTTATGTCATCATCTCAAAGTATACAGCATATACACAGCTTGTTTGATTGGGGGAGGGTTTTTTTATACTATTGAGATTTGAACTCAGGGCCTTGTGCTTACTAGACAAATACTGGACCATAATCTTCCTAGCCAAGACAGGCACATCCACCCAGTTTGTCTGTTAACCCTTTACCCAAGCTGGTATTAGAATCACCATCCTCCTGATCTCCACTTCCTGAGTAGCTGGGATTGCAGGCATGAACTATCATACCTGGAACAAAATAGTTTACTGAACAATTGATTGTTATGGTTCCACGTGTTCAAGGAATAGCCTGCTAGTAGATTGTTAAGTACCTGGATAAGCATTCCTCTCTTCAGGCCTTCTGAAACATCCTCCTTGGACATGTAAGTTTCAAATATGCTCTTTTTCTTCCCTCTCATGGACTTGTTCTTTGACTTTTTGTCACCTGGCGAAGCACCAACACTATGTGAGGACACACCTAGAAACATGAGGCAGCAATCAGCCCTTTCCTCAAAACTCTCTGATCCCTGGGTGGGGAGGGAGGGTATTTATTGTTTGATTTTTGTTTTCTTTTTTATGGGTGCTGTTCCTGGGACTTGAACTCGGGAACTGGGCGCTGTCCCTGAGCTTATTTTGTTCAAGGATAGCACTCTACCACTTGAGCTACAGCTCCAATTCTGGCTTCTTAGTGATTAATGGAGGTAAGAATCTCATGGACTTTCCTGCCTGAACTGGCTTCAAACCACGATCTTCAGATCTCAGCCTCTTGAGTAGATAGGAATACAGGAATGAGCCACTGGCACCTGGCTGATTCCTGTACTTTTATGACTGGAGATATTAGGCCTTTGTTATGATTGCTGTTATCATCATTATTCACAAAGACAAATAAGAAAATGTGGTGAATTCAAACACTTTAAAACAAAGAAAGGGTAAGAAAATGTAAATAAGATGGACCTATATGAGACATGATTCCTAAATAAGCCCCATAATATTCATGGAAAAACATTGAAGAATGGGTTTGGTATGCTGTTATTTATAGATATTGTGTGTATGCGTGCACATGTGCATATGTGTCTGTGTCTATGTCTGTCTGCATCTATGTCTGTATGTCTGTGTATCTGTGTGTGTCAGTCAGTCCTGGGGCTTGACTTCAGGGCATTGAGCTTTTGTGTTCAAGGCTAGCGCTCCACCTACTTCTGGCTTTTTGGTGGTTAAATGGAAAGAAGAGTCTCATGAACTTTCCTTCCCAGGATGGCTTTAAACAATGTTCCTCAGATCTCAGCCTCCTGAGTAGCTATGATTACAGGCATGAGCTACCATACCTGGCTCAAATATGCTTTTTAAAACTAAAAATCAACACAAGGTACCTGTGGCTCACACCTATAATCCTAGCTACTTAAGAGGCTGAGAGGAGGGCTAGGAAGGTGGCTCAGTGGTAGAGTGCTTGCCTTGCATGCATGAGGCCCTGGGTTCGATTCCTCAGCACCACATAAGCAAAAAGAAAAAAAGCCGGTAGTGGCACTGTGGCTCAAGTGGTAGAATGCTGGCCTTGAGCTGAAGAGCTGAGGAACAGCAACCAGGCCCAGAGTTCAGGCCCCAAGACCAGACCCAAAAAAAAAAAAGGCTGAGATATAAGGATCATGGTTCAAAGCCAGCCCAGGAAAGAAAGTCTGTGAGTCTATCATCTCCAATTAACCACTAAAAGCCCAAAATGGAACTGGGGTTCAAGTGGTAGAGTACTATCCTTAAGCAAAAGAGCTCAGGTCATCACAGAGACCTTGAGTTCAAGTCACAGTACCAGCGTGTGTGCTTGCATGCATGCGTGTGTGCATGCACACCCGCGCGCACGCGCACACACACACACACACACAATAGGAATCATCAAAAGATGATCACCTTTCAGAAGGAAATTCATGCAACTCATCATATTTGAATGCAATCATTTATTAAATAAACAGCACTACAGGTGGCCGTGTCAACAATGGAGAGTACAAGTTGTCATGTCCAAAACGAGTTTTACAGTGTCGGTGGGGGGGGGGGGGGGGGAGGGAGGGGAAGGATTGGGATTAGGATTGGGAGGGGGGAGGCTGGGAAGGGATGTGAAGATGTGAAGGGTAAACAAAGGAGGAGGCTGCAATGCTTGGTAAGAAATGTATGCATTATCCTGCCCATGTAATTGTAACCCCTCTGTACAGTATGTTCACAAATAAAGTAAAATAAAATTTAAAAAAATAAATAAAAAGCATAGGAAAATAGTTAACAGCCCATCATCTTACTTTGTCCTAAACGCCCTCCACCACCACACCCATTCTACTTGTATTTCAGTTCTCCAATTGCCAGTGCAACTCCATTTTCTTTTTGCTACCTCTGGGGGTCCCTATGGGCCGGAGGTTCAGCCTGCAGTCAGGATGGCTCATTACTGGTTCCAAAGTCGCCTGTTCTTTTGCAGATTCAGGGGAACCTCCACTGCTCCGCTCAGAGTTCTTCCTTCCTTGAACAGCTCAGTTATCACAAGCTGAAACCAAAGAGAGAGCAGTTAACCTGTAGCCTCCTTTTTCACCTCAGAAACTGAGTGCTAAATGCATTTGGATGGCAAGGGCAACACCGTGTACTCCTAGGTCCTGGTGTCACATTTTTCTGGGCAGTTAATCAAGCACACCATCTGTGCTGAATTTCTCTTCAAAACTTTCATTTTCACAGGCACACTAGGCTTCTCCTCTGGGGTTCCAACTAAAAGTCCACAGTAGAACAATCAATTGGAAAATAAGAAACTATATGGTTCTATGAAGCTTGTGAAATATACAAAAATAAGAGAAAATGTGGTTTTGAAAGATAGTATCAAGATATAGAATCTAAGTTGTAACAGAATAGGTACTAAACAAAACTCAAGATATGTCATTTACTGTTTAGCCTTGTATAAATTGTATACCTCTATGAACTCAAGTAAATTCTTTAGAACTTATCAACAAAACGTAATTCACAACCTGATGCCCAAAACTATGCAGGGAACCCCAGATGGTTCACAAGCTTTCAAAAACTAATGGTGGAAGTCTATTCCCCTGTAGAAGTCTATACCCCTATTCTTACCTATGGTCCCCTCAAATTAGGTCTCTAATCAGACTGCTCTAAGCAGAGTTGCTTTTGAGGAACACAGAGGAACAGTTGCCCGGGTCAGAGGCTAGAATATGTAGCCCTGCAGCTGGGCTCTGATAACCTACAAGGAGAGCAAATGTGTTACCAAAACTTACTTTTTTTAGTTTCTGCTGGCCACCAGCCAGGAATCAAGTTTATACCTGTAAACTTTCAAAATCCTGAGGAGTAGCCTGCTTTCCCATAAAATGGATCAAGATGCCTCTCTGAACATTTCTTCCAAATTTTTCCCATACATCCCTCATCAAATTTAAAGTTACCTTTAAACTGAAATTAATACTGGGGGAGGGGGGAGATGGGAGGGGGAAACAAAGGAGGAGGCAATAATGATTGATAAGAAATGTACTCATTACCTTGACCATGTAATTGTAACCCCTCTGTACAGTATTTTCACAATAAAAAATAAAATAAAATAAAATAAATTAATACTAAGTCAGGAGAAGAGAAGCAACAAAGACAAAGATAATAGGACACTTAGTGATACACAAACTGGCTCAGAGATAAAGTCCAAATGCAAGGAGGGAGAGAAAGAGGTGGCCTGAGAGAAACTGCAAAAGAAGGAAAAGGCACATGGAGGATTCCAGACAATGTGAAGTTAATCCAGAAAGACACAGCCTCTCATAAACTCAATAAATACTTCTGCAAAGCACTGTACTAGTCATAGTGAGGGCCAAAGTGCAATTAAGTTTTTAAAGTCATATTGATAATAATTAAGACATGTTGGGAAGTACCAGCACCATGATGTTTTAAAGTATGGATAGCTGTACAGACTAAGAAAGAAAAATATCTCCAGGTCAGGAAATCTGAGAGCACTTTGAGATTTTAAGGAAGAACTACAGATGTAAGAAAAGCATCCACCTGGCAAAAGGAAACAAAGAGATGCAAACAGAAAAATGAGTAGATTCTTGCAACATTAATTCTACCTAGCAAGAGTCCCACCTATGTACAAAGAGGCAGTGATGAGGAAATTAAAACATGCTGGAAGGTCTAGAAAAGCAGCCAGGTTTTTCAAAGACACTAGCAGGGTTCTGAAGCCTGAACAGGCAAAAGAGAAGAACAGTAATGACAGTTGTGTCTCAAGAAAAATCATCCCAGCACAGGACTCAGAGATGAACAGAGTCTAAGCAGTAGCTGCACCTTAGGAGAGAACAAGAAAAGGTGGACAAAGAGTAAGAGAGCCAGAACTAGAGATGTACCAGCAGACACAAAACTCCACAGGACAGGCTGGAGAAGAGCCAGCTTGTGGCATCTAGATAGGTTTCCAGCTAAGCACCTGGGAGACAGAAATATCCTTTCGAGAAGATGACCAAATACGTGGAAAGTAGGCATAACTTACAGAAAGAAATTGGCCAGACCTTTGCATGAACGTGGCAACCCAAAGCATTCAAGAACCAGTTCGACTGACAAAAAAAGATCCACTGAAACAGAGAAGGGCTTAAGACAAGTGATGACTAAGCAATTTTTGGTTCCCCTGGTCTAACAATGTTAAGCCCGTTGGCCCTGGAGAAGTTCTAGGTACTTATATTCTCACAAAATCAATTAAGGTAACTTTTAGCAGTGCAAAGGGGAAGTATAAAACATAGCAAAGAAGCTACTAATGATATAGGAAAAGGACAGTCAGGTATATATAAAAAGAAAAAAAGGAACTGGGCCAAGTGGCTCAAGTCTATAATCCAAGCTAGTTGAAAGGCAGAGACTGGGGGAAAGGGATCAGAGTTGAAGGCCAGCTGGGGCACAAAAGTCCCTTTAAACCAATGACAGGATACAGTGATGCTCACCTGTCATCCCCAGAAACACAGGGAAACATAAATAGGAGGATAATAGCTCAGGCCAGTCCAGGTATAAGGTAATGCCCAGCGTCCTAGAAATAACCGATGGAAAAGGGCTGAAGGCATAGGTCAAGTGATAGAGTGCCTGCTTAGCAAGTATAAGGCTCTGCATTCAATCCTCCATTAATTTTGTTAAACAAAAAATTTTAATTGAAAAGAAAGGAGAAAAGAGAACAGATCCTTGAGTTAGATTTGCTCCCACCAGTAGGAACACAACAGTAGTGTACCAAATCCAAATAAAAATACTTCAAGAAAGAAAAAGGATCCTTTTAACATATCAAATAGCATAGATTTATATGTGTGTGTGTGATGGTACTGGGGTTTGAACTCAAGGCCTTGCACTTACCAGGCAGATATGCTACCACTTGAGCCACACTACCACTTCTCTGGACTAATTATCTGCATTGGCTCTGTTAGTGTTCTACAGGAATATGTCAATTTAATGTTAGGCTTCTTGGTGGGGGAAAGATATCTCAAAAATTTTCTTAAGGAATTATTTCTTTGTTGGTTTGTATGTCCCTCCCCCACAGTATAACCCCTGCTTTTACTGTATTTGATGTCGGTATAATTTGTGGAGGGGAAGAGGAAAAACAAGTCGTTTAAATAAGGATACAGGTGGACCTGTTGCAACAATGAGAAGTACAAGTTGTCATGTCAAAAACAAACTTTACAACTTGGGGTGGGGAGAGAACTGGTGGGGGGGAGAGGAAGGATGGGAAGGGATGGGAAGGGTAAACAAAGGAGGAGGCTACAATGCTTGATAAGAAATGTGCTCACTATCTTGCCCATGTAATTGTAACCCCTCTGTACAGTACTTTCACAATAAAAAAATTTTTTTTTTCTTAAGGAGGCAGGGTGCTGGTGGCTCATGCCTGTAATTGTAGCTACTAAGAAGGCTGAGATCTAAGGATCCCAGTTGGAAGCCAGCCCTGGCAGGAGAGTCAGTGAGACTCTTACCTCCAATTAACCAACAAAAAGCCATAAATGGAACTATGGCTCAAGTGATAGAGTGCTAGACTTGAGCAAAACAGTTTAGGGACAGTACATAGGCCCTGAGTTCAAGCCCCCGGACTCGTGCACACATGCGTACACATGGGTACACATGCATGCACGCACGTACATGCACAGACCCGCACACACACACAAATTTTCATGAGGTTTTTGCTTGTTTTGACTTGTTCTTGAAGTGCTAGGTATCAAAACTCAGGTCCCAAGTTACCCCAGCTTTCGGTGGGTATTTTTTTACTTTACTTTTTCCCATCCTGTCCCTACCCACAATTATTTTTTTAATACCTATGACAGTACCATCTTTCTACAATAATAGAAATTATGTGTTATCTAATATGGTAACCATGTCTTTGAAACAATTTTATTTTTTTTTAATTTTTTTTGGGGGGTCCGATCGTGGGGCCTGAACTCTGGGCGTGGGCGCTGTCCCTCAGCTCTTTAGCTCAAGGCTAGCCCTCTACCACTTGAGCCACAGCGCCACTTCTGGCTTTTTTCTTTTTGCTTATGTGATGCTGAGGAATCAAATCCAGGGCCTCAGGCATGCAAGGCAAGTGCTCTACCACTGAGCCACCTTCCCAGCCCTGAAACAATTTTAATGAGTGATAATGCAGCTAAAACACTGCCAAATGTGAAACAATTGTACTTAATCTTTATTCTCATATTTGTTCAGGTTTTTAAATTCTAGATTATAAAAGTTTCTCTTGCCACTTTAAAGATGTAATTCCATTGTCTTATGACCAGCATTATTTTTATTTAGAGACCAGCCATTCATCTAATGATTAATTATTCAAAAGTATATTGTTCCCCCCTTCCTATTCTGGGCAGCTTTTTGAAATGTTCCTCTTTATCTCTGGTTTTCTGTTGATTTATAGAGCATGAAATATATGAGTTTCTTTTCATCCTGTTTGGTGTTGGTAAGGTTTTTTTTTTTTTTTTTTTTTTTGCCGGTCATGGGGCCTGAACTCTGGGCCTGGGCGCTGTCCCTCAGCTCTTCAGCTCAAGGCTAGTGCTCTACCACTGGAGCCAGAGCGCCACTTCCGGCTTTTTCTGTTTATGTGGTGCTGAGGAATCGAACCCAGGGCCTCATGCTTGCAAGACATGCACTCTACCGCTGAGCTACCTTCCCAGCCCTGGTAAGCTTTCTTGAACCTATTACTTGATAATTTTCATCACTCTGAGAAAGTTTTCAGTCATTCTCTTTTCAAATATTGTTTCTGCCCATTCTCTCTCAACTCTAAACTTTTGATTTCCTCCATATCTCTATTTCCCCTTCAAAATCTTCAGTATTTTCCACTTTCTTTTCTTGAACTTGGCTACTTCATTAATTCCCTCATATATATATATATATATATATATATATATATAGTTGTAAAGTTCGTTTTCAACATAGTGTCTTGTACATCTCATTGTTACAAGGGTCAACCTGTATCCTTGTTTCAGCATTTTGTTATTTCCCTTCCCCTCCCCAAATCAGAAAAGTGCATATACAAGATGCAGGGCATCAAATATAGTGAAAACTGGGGTTATA